AAAAAAAAAAAAAAAAAAAAATCCTCCTGGGAGCCACCTTTCCCTTACTCAGGAGTCCCTCTAAGGGGATTCTGTTGCTGATTTTGCTGTTGTTGAATTTTTAGTGCAACATAATTTAAATGGTCGTACACTGGTCAGCTTTTAGCTCACTTCGTGTTATACCTCTTTCTTTCCTCTTCAGTAATGGGGATTGAACCCGTGGTCTTACTCTACCACTAAGCCACATACCCAGCCCTTTTTAAAATTTTGAGACTGGGTCTCCCTCCTTAAATGGTCCAGATTTGGCTCTAACTTGCGATCCTCCTGCCTCAGCCTCCTGAGTAGGTGGGATTAAAGGTGGCGTCACTGTGACCAGCTTGTTTTCTTACTGACCATACAGTCCAGTAACAGAAGACTTTGAATTTCAGACAGCACGGATTGGAACGATCCATAAGATAAACAATCCGTGTCATGGCAGGTGTGGTGACGCACGCCTGTAATCCCAGCTCTCAGGATGCTGAGGCAGGAGGATAGCCATGAGTTTGAGGCCATCCTGGGCTACCCAGTGAGTTCAAGGCCAGCCTGCACTACACAGGGAGACCCTGTCTCAAAATTTAAGAAAGAAAAAGAAGAGAAATGCTTGATTCTAGCCAAGAATGATGGCTCATGCCTGTACTCCCAGCCTGAGGGAGGCTGAGGCAGGAGGATTGCAAGTTCAAGTCCCACCTGGATAATTCAGAGACCCTGTCTCAAAATAAAAATAAAAAGGGCTGGGGATGAGCACTGCAGAGACAAAGGGCTGGGGAGAGGTGACTGATGCTGGCTGGGCCACAACCAGTGTATAGTGCTCGCCTAGCATGCGCGAGGCCTAGGACTCTATCCCCAACAATGCACAACACCACATAAAACGTAACAAGACACCACGGATCCTGCCGAGGAATGGGAATGCTGGAGCTGCTGCTGGAAGCAGCTAGGAGCACATTTCAGTGAGGCCGAGCGAGGATGGCAGCTCTCCGAGGAGCACAGGGGGGGTGAGCCGGGCCAGGGGGCGGCCAGAGGAGGCGTCGGGCGTGGGGCACACGGAGGGGGGC